AACTTTTCTACTTTAATTCCAGGATTTCATCAGTAATCCATTGTTGTTTTTTGTGCCTGTGTAACATTGTTGAATATTTTTCTATTACTTTCAAGGTAAGATCTTTAAATGTGTTTCATATTTCTGTGTTGTTTTCATTTATTGGTTTCTTTAGCTCATAGTTTAAGTTTTAATTTTGGTGTTTTGGGGCTTTCTTGGACTTTTTTGAGCTTCACTTTGATGTCAATTATTACAGGGTTATGGTCTTAATCGATATGTGCACCAGGATATGTCGTTACTCTGGTGACGCCATTCTTAATTCTTTTGTTTACCAGAATATAGTCTGATTTCTAATCATATGTAGTGAATTATCTCCTGGTCCCCTCCATGTGTATAACCTTCTTTTGTGTAATTTGTACCATGTATTTGCGATTATCATGTCATGTTAACTGTATATATTTGATTAAAAATATTTTAGATATTAAATCTGATTATTTTCCGGGATAAACTTAACGTGCAGTTTATATAAAATACCTTAATTACACTGTATATGTTAAAACATTATTTAATACAATAGTAATCTCATCTGATTGTCCTTTTCCATATTTTTTAGTGATTTAGTACGAAACAGTTGCAATATAATATTTTTCTGTACAAATACGACTGGTAATTTAAAGAAAAGTATAAGCCTCGTTATTTTGAGGACGTTGTGTATGTTTTGCAATTTTCTTTTGACATGAATAAATATTCTTTCATGCATATTCTACAACATAAGCACCCCTATAAACCTACTTGACAATATAATAAAAAAATATAGGTAATGAATATGTTATGCGCCAGCCCACAATTTCGGAAGATTTAAAATTTTTACAGTTTTTTTCCAGAACAATAAACATGCAATTCTAGTTTCAAATTGCTAGTTAAAGGATAATTGAATTTCTAATGCCTTATATCCGTCGGTGTATGTAACAAGATTCTAACGGCGACTTACGGTAATTGGGCACATTGGGATTAGATTGAGGTTTTCACTGGAAAGCTTATGCATATATAAGCTTTACGTAGGTAAGTAGCCATACAGCTTAATCTAGGGGACGTTAGTACATTTTGAAATCCTAGAACGAACGACATACATCAATTAATAAAAATGATACATCTACGCAGGGTCGAAGCTCTTGGCAGCTATACCACAGAATAATAAACAATCAGAATGCCCACTCTCCAGTGAGACATAAACAACACTGGAACCATACTGGAACCAATGTTGTTTATGTGGTGTGCATAGAAAAATTAACCCGGTTTAATTGACTTACGGCAATCATACACATACTATACAATTATATTAACATTGTTAAATATAATAACATAAATATAATATAATTAAACATAAATATAAACAATTACATAACCTCACAAATCATATATCTGTGTTATGTTTTTCCTTTTAAAACATGGCGCGCGTGTTGAAAAACTTCAAAGGCGGCATCTGAGAGTGGGCATTCTGTTTGATTATTATTCTGTGGCTATGCTGTTGACTGATCTAGTCACCTTTGTCAACGAGTCTAGTCCAATTTTCATGCTCGCTCTGTTTTGACGAGATTGGATTTCTTGGCAGCCATATTTCTGGCTGATCTAGTCACCTTTGTCAATAGGGTTTTCCTTACGATCTTCCGATATTTGATCTGACTCTACGATTGCGCTCCCTTGAGCTAATTTTGCTACCCATAAATTGTCAATCGTATTAAACACATACAAGAACTGATACCACTCTCTACTCGGCATTATATGCCTTCTAATCAACACCTCTCTAATTGTGTTAGTCGTGTTTTATCATCGGCACAATTATTACAATCTTCACCAAACTGGCATTTTCCTACTGTGGATCTCGTCCAAATATCATTACTTCCCGGATGTCATTGCAGACTTGAAATGCGACACCACTCCGAGATTTCGACGCTGTTCTTCTTCTTGTTTTTTGCGCACTCCACGGAATTCTTACGGGAAAAGGGGCCAACGTTATTGTGTTTGACACAGTCTTTTCTAGTTTAACCGATCGACAAATCCTACCGATTCGACGTTATTCTTTTCTAATTGATGACATTGTACGCGTTGTTAATCTGAGCACAGTTTCAGATGGCATCCAACAATGTTTTGTGATCAAAATATGACCGCCGCTTATTTGTTAATTCATATTTTATTCTTACTTAGTTCTTAATGAGTATATCAATCTTTTCATGTCTATTCTTTATACTTATACTTTTAGCTGTTCGTTTTATACATTCGTTTTTGGAGCGAGAGAATGTTTGGGAAAGTATGTATTTTTACATTTAATATTTTTCTGTTACGGTACTGTAATATGATTTAGCGCTATATTCTAAAGACCTTTTTAAAATATAATATAAAAAAAATATATATTTATATATATATATATATATATATATATATAATATATATATATATATATATATATATATATATATATTTATATATATATATAATATATATATATATATATTTATAAAAATATAATTATATATCCATTAGCATTTAACCAGCGATCTCTAAGTTTAATCCTAAACATATATATATATATATATATATATATATATATATATATATATATATATATATATATATAATAAAATTTATAAATTTTAATTTAGTATAGTGAGTTTTTTAATAAAATTTTGTATTTGACTTATTATACGGGATTAATCGAAAGGTGGTTTTTTATCCTAACTTTGAAAGATCATGTGGAATATGTGGTCTTTTAAGTATTATGTTTTTTGTTTCAAGCGAAAATATAGATTGGTTTATTTTTAGAAGCGAAATGACTTTGCCACCCACAACTTACGACTTTTCCTATTATTACCATTATATACAATAGCACTAAAGGCCTTAGAGGCCCAAGGCTTAACAGTTTTGTTCTTTCTTTATTTTCGCTTTCCTTTATGTACTGAGATCTTCTCTGGCTCGATATGTGATTTTTTCCATTCCTTCTTGTTATTCATTTTTCTTTTCTGGCCGTCTAGTCCAATTTCTTCCATATCTGTTTCTTCCTCCTGATTCTGTCACCGCAGGGGAACAAATAGCGGTCTAAATTTCTTCTATTGCCTCCGGATGCTCTGTAGAGGGCTTCTGAGACGTCTACGAAAGCACCTCTACCCAATTCTATTTTCTGGATATAGACTTGTAAAAAGTTTTAGCTGATGAGCTCGTCTTGATAATGACGAGCTATTTCTTACATGACAAAACTCTTACACGATGAGGTTGTCGAAATAATCCATCAGGTTCGTCGTCTTCGATGACTTGCCTTGACAAAGGCAAGATATTTCTTACATGACAAAAATGTGTTAAGGATGTCGAAATAAAATCACCAAATACAGTTGAAATAATTACTCAGCCACAGAGTATAGGAAAGCTAAAAACAAGAAAAGCAGCGCCCCGAGTACACGCTAAAGTAGCGATAAATAGGAATTTCCAGGTCAGGGACCAATAGGAAAAAATGAGGAGCGGGGCGATGCGTCTCGAGCACGAACTAGTCGCCTCCGAGAACAATTCCATCTATTTTTTGGCCTTCCTTTTCTCTTTTTTAAAGTTATAGCGTAGTTTAGTACCCTTTTTGGAGTCCTCGTATTCGGCATCTTTTCTAGGTGACCTCGCCATCTTAGTTTCTGTGCCTTTATTACTCCTATTATGTTGGGTTGATTATATAATTTTTTTTAACTTATTTGATCTTCTTATCCATAAACCTTCCCTTATTATTCCTTCATATATCTTCCTCAGGATTTTCCTTTCCCATATCTCCAGTAAATTTTGTTAATTTTTTGCCATTGTCCACGTCTCACTGTAGTATGTTACTATTGGTTGTATAGTTGTTTTGTATAACTGTATTTTTACCTTTCTTGATAAAAACTTGCTTTTCAACATTCCACTAAGAGCATGTACACTTCTATTGCCTGCCATTATTCTAGCTTGTATTTCTTCTTTAATGTTAGGTTTACGTGATATTATTATACCTAGGTATGTAAATCTTTCTACCATTTCGAATTCGTATGATGATCTTTCTTCTACTTCTACTTTAAACTTTTGTCCATCCCAAAACTGATCATCTGTCCAATGCATACATTTTGTTTTAGTTTCATTTATGTAAAGTCCCATTATCTTTGCTGCTTTTACTATTCTCTGTACTATCTCCTGTAGCTCTTTGGTGACTGATATGGAAGGAATGTCATATCGACATCCCAGAAGCACTGTATTTAAATAATGATTAAAAGCAACGACATGATCTCGGTTTTATTGAACTATAATAACAACACATAAAAAAAAAACAACTTACATGTAACTTAACCTTTATATTACCTGGTGCGACTTCGCTACCTCTAATATTTCTACCAAACATGTTCCAAATGTGCACTATTGCCAACGAATCCTCAATAAATACCAATTCATACCATGTCCGAAAGACCCCTCCATAGCTAATGCGGGGACTGACAGGGCACTCCGCAAATCTCACTCCATTTCGACGCCATACTCGTTCTCGCCCATCTGATGAATGAAGACAGTATCTTGACTCATCCGTAAAAAAAATATTACTCCATTGTCCTAAATTCCAATTTGAATGTTCCCTGGAAAATTGTAGTCTAGCCACTCTGTGTCGTGGAAGTAATTTGGGCCTAGTTGCTGGTCTGCAACTTTGCAAACCAAATTCATGTAATCTTCAACGAACTGTAAGTACACTTACATTATTGCCTCGAATCTCTTAAAGCTGATTTCTTGTTAGCACCGCTGTTAAATGACGACTTGTAATTTTTTTGCACTTTTTTAGGGTACCAAAATTAACATTTTCAGCAAAATTCAGCCTTCATCAAATGATTTTTACAAGATCTTTGGCATTTTCGTCTCTTATAACTGGAGTTTACGTTCTGTTTGAATTTTCATGTTTTGAAAATGACATATTTTCTATTGACTCATGTTAAAGTGACTAAAAAAGATGGCTACAATAATTTATTTTTGTTTTTCAGTTTGGACAGAGACCAGGCTTTCACCTTCCAACTCGGCGTCGGCCAGGTCATCAAAGGATGGGACCAAGGTCTAGTAGATATGTGCGTAGGAGAGAAACGTAAACTTACCATTCCACCACACCTCGGTTATGGCGACAAAGGAGCTGGCAATGTGATTCCTGGAAAAGCCACACTCATTTTCGAAGTAGAATTAATCAACATCAGTGATGCCAAACCTGCAACTGCTAATGTCTTCAAAGAAATCGACAGCAACAAAGACAATCAGCTTAGTCGTGAGGAAGTAAGAGAGTTTGTAAATATTGTGCATTGCTTTGTATTGTCCAGTTATTAGTGATGCTCTAGTTTATGAAATACTTCTAGGTTTATTGGTAGATAATATATAATTACATTTTTAGTGAACACAAATAATACACTGTACTTATATATTGCAAATCAGCGGACTAAGGCTCAATTACAATTGCAATATACTTATATGTTGCAAAATAATCACACAGCTGGTCGCTGCACTCCCTTTACCAGTCTCCACATTCAAGTTGTCCAGTCTTGGGCCAGGTCTTCTTCTAAATCGTGAACGCTCATAGCATGATGTATTCCCTTGCTTCGAAAATAAGGAGATCGGTCTTTTTTATTTCTTTCAGAAGGTTGCCAGGGGAATACCTTGGAGTACAGTCACCTTGATTGCATTATCCTAAGTTAATGACTAAACCATCTAAAACTTTTTTCTAAGATATTTTTTCTCGATACGCTCAATAATTCTTTCTGGTGCTAAAATTCTATTACTGATTGTTTCATTGTTTCATTGGGAGTATGTTACTTAGTCGTCTGTTATCTTCTTTTTTCATTGTCCAAACTTTGCAGCCATATGTAAGAACTGAATCAATCATGGTTTGCTACTACTATTGGAATCCGTTAACCAAGCAGGACAGATAATGTTATTAACAACAAAACAGACGCTAACAGTCTTAGTTCCATTTATTGTAACATCTTAAAATCTTTTTAATTTATGAAATATATTAGTTACTGCACGTCACTGATTAAATTGTAGGACAATTAAACAAAATCAGTTATTACAATATTTTAGTTGAATTTTAGTTTGTCACTCATGAAGATGTGTTTGTGTTTTAATATTTTTAGTCTGTCACTCAAGATGTTGTGTTTGTGCTACAACGATTACATCTGTAAGTTCTTTTATGTAATGTTATTTTTTTTATTCTATCAATAAATAATTTTTTAGTGCGCTCTTGAAAAAGCCATAAACCAAATGGCGAAATATTGAGTTTACGAGAAAAAAATCGTTTTATTTTCTGACCAAAAAGCCTGATAATATACATTTATTTTAATTATTTGATGGTCGATAACGAAAAACTAACTATATACAGTGCTTTTCAGATAAAACTATCCACTTTAAATAACTTTTGAACCTCTAATTTTTTGGAAAAACGCAAAAAACACTTCACTTAATATCTGAAGGGGGAGGCATAATATCATATTTAATGTTGCTGGTAAATGCACCTTCACACACCCTGTATCAACCCTTTATTTTTTTTTAAATTACTTCCCCCTTTTTTATTTTATATTTGGATTCTCCTTTTTGTACTGATTTCAGAAATGTATAATACATGATACTTGAAGTGATTAGTTTATGAGAAAAGTAAATACAAAAGCAAGAAAATTGGATTAAAAAAAAATATTTTTTAACAATTTTATTCCACACATTTAGAACAAACATTTCACTACTAAAAATTTTTACAATAATTGTTCAAAATGACTGCCTTTCACTTCCATACAATAGTACAATCTATTTTGAAATTCTTCTCTGACATTGCTTAACACGTCTGCATTTAATTGTCGACATTCATCCTCTATTCTTTGTTGTAAATCATCTAGATATTCTGGTTGAGTGGCATAATTTTTGTTTTTAAATACCCCATAAGAAGAAGTCTAGGGGTGTTCAATCCGGTGACCTAGGTGGCCAATCGATCATCTGTCGTCTTATACCTATCCAAGGACCGGAAAACGTTTCGTTTAAAAATTATCGCACAGGTAAAGCAAAGTGTGGAGAAGCTCCATCATGTTGAAATACAACCAAATCATCGGAAAGGTTATCATCATTTTCTACTATTGTTCGAACGATCAACCACTTGCCTATATAATTCAAGATACGATGCACCATTTAAGTTTCCAGTGATAAAGAAGGGTCCGATAATATGATTACGTAGGATACCACACCATACGTTTAACCTTTGAGGATGCTGTGTGTGAAATTCGCGTACAATATGTGGATCACTCTCAGCCCAGTATCGGCAATTATATCTGTTCACCAAACCGTTTAATAGAATGAGCATTCATCCGAGAAGCAAATATTGTTTAATGATTGTGGATTGTTAATGATGCATTGTATCATTAATTCGCAACATTCGGGAGGACGATCAAAATCTTCTTCATTTAACTCTTGTACTAATTTAATTTATATGGATAAAATTAAATTATGGAGGACTCGGAAGGCTGTAGAAGATGAAACACCGATTGCTCTGCTTATTGTTGACAGTGACTGTGATTGTTAAGAGTCTAAGTTAACTTGCCCTAAAACAGCTACTTGGATTGCTTTTTTATTTACAAGTTCCTGTCGGTTATGTTTTTTATTGCAAACTGACCCTCTTGCTCTAATTTTTTCTGCATCAGTTCAATCACACACTTATGAGTTGCATGTCTATTGTGGTGTGTTTCATTAAAAATTCTAGCAGCAGCTCTTGCACAATTATTATTTTTGTAGTATAAACCTACAATTTCGATTCTTTCTTGCAAAGTGAACACCATTTCAGCGATCAAATTGCACACGTATCAAAATAAGCTGTTACTTACAAGTTATAACAAATTGTCGCTATTAACCGATTAAAACAAATGTAAAAATGATATCGAAAACATTTGATAAAACTTGAATAAAAAGTGAATTTTTTTGTTTCTTGGTTTTTAAAGGTACTACAAATAGTACGGTTAAATATTTAAAGAGTTTTAATTATGCTACAACCTATTTTGTTAGAGTCAATTAAGGTGAGGGAGATACTGTCTTGTTAACAGGAAAATTGTCTATCTGATAAACTAATCACTTCAAGCCAAAGGTATTATACATTTTTGAAATCAGAACAAAAAGGAGAATCCAAATATAAAACAAAAAAAGGGGGAAGTAATTTAAAAAAAAATAAAGGGTTGATACAGGGGTGAGAGGGTGCATTTTCCAGCAACCTTTAATATGAATTATGTCTCCCCTTCAGATATTAATTGACGTGTTTTGAGTTTTTCCAAAAATTAGAGGTTCAAAAGTTATTTAAGGTGGATAGTTTTATCTGAAAAGCACTGTATATAAGTATATTTAAGTATATTATTTTGATAAATATTGTACTTAACCCGTTTTACTTAGATATATACTGAGTGATCTTTTTTTAGTTAGCGTTGAATAAAAGATTCTTCTTTCACCATTAAAGCAAAACTTGAAGAGAGATATTGTCTCTAATTTAATGACTCTTCTGTTAAAACTTGTAGACTGCTTATTGAAGTTGCTTTCAAAGTTCCGAACACTATGCGCAGAGCTGTGGTTGTTGACCAGTCTAGTTTTTTTATTAACTTTTATTTGCTGTTCCGTTTGAAATGTGTATACTATAATCAGCGATTACTGTCTACGAAAATGAATCACAGAAACAATGTTTTTAGGTTCTTTCTTAAGAATAAATAATGTGATAAAAATTGGAATCGCGTGATGCGTGTATTTGCAGAAGAAACCAGGTACGGCTAATTTAAAACCAACGCTGGTGTTTAACAATCGAGGTTAGAATTGTCACAGCCTAGATTTTCATGCCTACCGTTACTTTTTACGTCTTCTAAGTAGTGAAATTACTACTGTGAAGATTTCATTTGCAGATAAAATATTTTTATGTTGTTAAAAATATAAAATCTTTATTCAGTTAATTGTATATTATTCCGATACATAAAATTCTCATCATAGATAGTAAACAATATTAAAATGCCACATGAAGAAAATAGCTTCAGAACAAAATTGAGAACAGGTATGGCTACGATATCAAAATTTTTAGATTAGAAATTTTGTGTGAAAAACTGGCTCATATTTAAATTAAATTAAATTTTTACGAAGATGTAGGAATTATAGAATTATCAACTTCACACCCACAAAAAATGGAGCAATTGCATTTTTAAAATAAAAACTTGAAAGTTTAATTCCTTTAATCTTTATTTATAATAACGTAAACACAAATGAAAAAAACTGTTTTAAGTAATTTATAATAAAATTAAATGCGTATTCAACAAAAAATGCATCAATAATCAGAAATAAAGAATCTTCTTCTTCATGTGCCTTGCTCGATTATCGAGCGTTGGCTATCAAATTGGCTATAGTAATTTTTTGACGGCAGCTCGGAAAAGAGATGCAGAAGATCTGTTAAAACCAATCTCTCAGGTTTCTAAGCCATGACGTTCTTCTCGACCTGGCCCTCTTCTTCCGTCTATCTTGCCTGTATTATTAAATGGAGTATATTATATCTCTCTGGGTGGTGCACAACATGGCCAAAATATTCAAGGTTGCGATTTTTAACTGTTTTGACGACTTCCGTAACTTTTCCATCCGATGCAAAACAACTTCGTTGCGCACTCTATCCACCCAACTTATTCGTCATATTATTCTCCGATACACCCAGATTTCAAAGGTTTCCAGTTTCTTGAGAAGTGTATCTGTCAAAGTCGAACCTTCGATACCATAAAAAAGAGTAGAGAACACATAACACCTCACTAATCTAATTTTCAAACTTAAAGTAATATTGTTTCCACATAACAGTTTCTTCATCTTAAAGAATGCAGCTCTGGCCTTCTCTATCCTGTATTCTAATTTCTTTGCTCATGTCCCAGTTCTCATTTAGATTACAACCAAGGTAAGTGATACTGTTAGTTCTCTCCAGTTGTTCACCATAAGCTGTTACCACTTCCGGTTGTATTGGCGTTTTACTGACGACCATCACCTTTGCCTTTGCAGTGTTTAGCTTAAAGCCATATTCATCACACGCTGTGGTAATCCTATTAATTAGATGTTGAAGTTCTTCGTAATTCTTGCATTAACACGTGTCATCCGTACGCCATTCATTTTTATATCACATTGAACATTATCCACTGCTTTATCGAAAACGAACTCAGAATAGATGTTAAATAGTAGCGGGGACAAACTGCAGCCCTGCCTTACTCCTTTAGAAGCTTTCGAAGTCCCGGCCAATCCTGATGTTTGCACGTTGA